CCCTACTCCCTCCTCGGCCTTGACAGCCCCTCCACCTGCTTATGCCACCCTAGGTCCCTGTCCATCTCCCTTGAGCTCAGCAGGGGCCAGCTCCTCTGCCTGTGCCCTGGGAGAGCTCTGATAGGGAACTTAGCCTACAGTGTTTCTCCCACCAAGGCCTGCGCTCCCCTGTGGCAGGGGCCCAGCCTTGGCAAGGTTAAAAGATGTTTGGGGCTTCCTCTCAAAGCTTCTCACTGCCTTTGGTGTGGGGGAGGGAAGCAGGATGGGTAAGGGGTCCAGGAAGTTGCCCAGAGAACAGTGGCCAATGAAGCCACCCAGAACTGCTTTGGTCCTGCCCTGCAACCTCGGTCCTGCCCTTGAACACTCTGATTTCCACACAAGTGCAAACAAGTCTCCTTTTCCCTTGGATCAGCCAAGCTAAACTTGGAGTTTTGCCAAGGAACTTTCCTAGGAAACGACCAACAACCAGAACAAAACACAAACAAGGACATACAAAGGCATATCTAGGTTTCCTACCCACAGTGACCAAAGCCAGCCCCAGGCTGGCCTGGCCACACTGCCATCCAGTGATACAGATGTCTGCTCCTTTTCTTGAACTTGGGTGGGAAACCCCACCCGAAAGCCCCCTTTGTTAGCTCTTGGGCAATTCCCCTTCACTGACTTCAGGGCAGGAGCTTGAGCAGACCAGTGTAGAAAGGTTTGGTCATTCCCAGTCATTCCCAAGACGCTTCTAGTCTCATACTTCACACCCCTGCGGAGATGCCCCAGTGCCTCTGCCCTGTGTCCTTCATTCCCCTGCACGACTGCTCAAGCTATTTCCTCAGCCTGAACACTTGCCTCACCATCTGGAGGACTATGCATCCTTTAGAACCCTTTCAAATACCATTACTTCCTTGAAGGCTTCTGCTCCATCTTGTCTTCCCCAGAATTGATCACCCACTCTCCTTTGGACTCCCATGGCCCACTATAACATCTTCTGGACTGCTGATGTTGCATTAAACGTTTGTGTTCATGTGTGTCTGCCTCCCTGACTAGACTGTGAGCTCCTTGTGGTCATTTCTATATTCTCCAGGTCTAGCCCAGTGTCCCACTTGGAGCAAGTAGACAGGTTCTCAATAAATGTTTGTTGCATAAAGCAATGTCTGCTGAGTTGAATGGGGCCCCAAGAAGATGGCAGGGAGTAGACACAAGTCATGAAGTCAATGCCCACTCTTCTGGGAGGTCCTGGGGCAAAGAGGGCCAGAGAGATTCCCATGCCCTCTGGCTCACCATGGAAGAGATCATTCTTCAGGTGCCTTATAGGAGAGAAACTATCTTATGAGTTCATTCACAGGTGTGGCAAAGGATTGCTATGTGCCCATCACCATATTAAGGTGGAGGGGGAAGACTTGGTGTTCTGCAGTGATTGGTAAGACTCTGCTCTCTGCAAGGTCTGAACCTCCCTTTCCTTTCCAACTTTAGTCACCATCATCATTAACTCCCTGCTCCATTTGCTGAGTACCAGTCACCACCCAGCCACAGTATAACCCTCATCTGACCTCCTGCCCATCAACTGCCTAAGCAGTGGAGAAGGATGAGATGCAGGCCAGTTTCTTCTGAAACCTCAGAGCTCTATTTAGCCTTACTCACATTTCATCATAGAGAAGAGCAGAGAAAATCATTCTCGTTTCAATGAAGGAGAAATTGAGGTCCAAGGAGAGGCTGAGGGGTATCTGGGTAGAACCCTATTTTTCTGATCCCAGTCCTTCCACCCCCTCCAGCATCAGATCTAGAACCCAGAAGTAACCCCTTTTTCATTATCTTTGGGATACTTCCCCTGTGGCCTTGGTTTTATTCCTGTTATTTACAGTCTGTCCTGAGGATCCAGAGGCGAAAAGGATCTTGAGGAAAGAGGAGGAGTTGGTAAAGGGAGTGGGGACATAGGAAGGGTCATGAGCCAAAATGACGTGGTGACTTCTGACTTCCCTTTCCTAGATTCAGGCTGATGAGGGGGAAATGGTGCTGTCCTGATAGTTTCCACGGTTAGAGTCCTCAGGTACCTTCTGCTCTTATCTTCTCTCTGCCATAGTCTTGGCCTCCGCCTTGTCCCACCCCGTGCCCAGTGCCCTCTCCTCTGGCTGGGGAGGAAGCACCTACTGGACTAAGCTGGATCGATTGTAGATGGTGCAATCCCTACCCATGTTCCAGTTTCTCCTTGCCTGCCTATACTTCCTCCCTGAGGTCTTTCCTCATCTCTATCTCTTGTCCTAAGAGTTGGCATCAGGGTGTTAGAGAAAAAAGTGTTTAAGTGGCCTCATTTTCCTTATTGGGCTTAGTGGGTACAGTGATTTCCCCAAGTTTATAATTTTTACAGAGGAGCCTAGAACTCACAGGTCTCTTTCTATGACTCACCCTGCCTCCCTGTGATAGGATGAAGTCCCGAATGACAGAGGTGGAGCTAGAACCCACGTCACTCAGAGTTCAATGCCCTTTTGGGTTACGTATGTGTGTGTTTGTGTGTGGGTGCACGTGAGACGCGATAGGGGAGGGGCATCTCTGCTATCTGAAGCTCTTTCTTTTCTTCCTCCTTTGTCTCAATAAACCTGACTCAGACTCTGTCATCCCCTGTTCTGTTTTTTCATTTCTTTCCCACTTTACCCACCGTTATTGTTTCTACCCCTGAAGGATCACAGTCTCACTTTCATCTCCTCTGTAAAACTAGCTAACTTTTCATATCCTAGATCCACCCATTGCTCACTATCTTTTCTTCTTCTTTTTAATAGAATTTTATTGAATAATTCAGTATCACATGTGCCAAGGGTTTAAACTTAATGAGTAAAGCAACAATTATCCTAAATCATGAAAGAAATTCACCTTTTGTGCCAAGCTTTGTGTTAATGGCTTTGGCAGTTTGCACAGACTATTGAGAGTCTTTGTAATATTAAAAATGGGACATTGATGTTGTTATTAATTTTAATATGAACTATTAATATTGCCACCACTTATAAAATGCTTAATGTATGGCAAACACTTGCTAAACACTTTATATGCATTTAATCATAAAATCAACTCTGTGAGAGGTATTAGTGAGTTTCTCATTTACTTAACTTTTTTCCCCCAGTGCTGGGGCTCCAGACCAGGGCTTTGCACATGCTAGGTAGGCTCTCCACTAGGCTACATCCCCAAGCCTCCCATTCATTTTAGATGAGGAGCCTGAGGCTCTCCTGGTTTCTTCACAATGGAAAGTGGCCAGTCTGACCCTTGCATTACATTCTTTTCTTTTTTATTTGTTCTTTTTAATCACACATGACAGCACAATGTGTTTTGACATATTATTCATACATGCACATTCTTCCATTCTTGTGGTTGTACATGATGTGGAGTTACACTGATCATGTACCTTGCACTACATTCTAATGAACTTGTTTTCTTCCAAAGCTCTGCTTGGGCCTCACTCCTACTGTACCTGGCCTTTTTGTATGTTGATAGTGAACCCCTTCCTCCTTGAGTCCACTTTCAACCTACTAGTTCTCCAGAAGCTGGAGGACAGGGTAAAGTCAGTCCCACCACCAGTGGGGGCACCTAAACCCTCCATTCCCATTACAGATGCCCTGCCTTTAGGGTTAGGATGGCAGAGGCAGGAAAACCAGAGGTAGGAAAAGCTAAGGCAGGAGGGCTTGGGGCTGGAAGGTCAGCTGGTGGATCAAAGGGAGAAGAGGCAGGGAGCTCTGCTGTACATCATAAAGCCCCAGGACAGCACTTTCTGGTCCCCCTGTGTTTTCTACAGCCTCAGCACCTGAAAGACTTAGCGTATGGGGGAAGGCATTGTATTCCGTGGGCATTTGAGTCAATATTGCACTCAGGGTATAGAATTTGCTTGGGAGAAGCCCTGCCTAAACTGGGATAGTATTTTACATTAACAGAGGATGACAGGATATGGGGACTGAGAGGGACCCTGACAACAAAACAAACAAGAAAGGAAGAAAAAAAAAAGACCCCAAAGGACAAACAAAAATAAACCCCAAGGGGACATTGGGAAAAGTGGCACTGTGTCTCTCATAGACAAAGGGGGCCCTTTGTTTGCAAACTAAGAATTGGGTGTTCTCTGCTTCTAAATGCTATGTATCTCTGGCCCTCACTCTTCTCATCTAGAAAGTCAGAGGGTTCCATAAATTCTCTTTCTAGGGTCAGTTCTGATGGATGTGACAAAATATTTGGGAAAAGGGTGTTGAAAATGGACTTTTGATATCTCCTGGAGATACCCAAATATCCAAAGCATCTTCACAAATACGGTCTCATTGATCTTCATGGCCTCATTTCCCCTTGTAGGTGGGCAGACACTTTACCCCCTTTAATAAGAGGAACCAATCAAAGCTCAGGAGCAGGGTTGCCTGATGTCCCACAGTTGCTGGCAGAGCTGGGATCAACAGCTGGGGGCACCTGTCAGGTGGAAACTGGTTAAGAGCCAGAGGGTGGGGGCCAAGGGTTAAGGTCCCAATTAGGGCAGAAAACTAAGATTAGAATTGACTTTGAGTATTGGTTTGGATGGGCAAACTCCCACCAGAGAGGGGGAGTAGAATGCCAGTGGGAACTCCAGGGTAAAGGGGAGGGCCACTAAGAAACACTGAGTACTTCCCACAGTCAGACGTTTGTGTATTGTTTCAGTAAATCCATACAGCAACCTGGCCTTGCAAATCGAAAAACAGGCTCAGAGAGGTTAGATCATGTGTTTAAAATCACCTAGCTAAAAAGTAGTGGATTCTGAACTGGAACTTAGTCATTTTGACAATTTGACTCCAAAATCATAGGTCTTCCCATTCGTAGCTGAGAAAGGCCAGGGCTGGGGGCGGCCGGGGAGGGGGTGGTGTCAGTGCACCTTGGGGTTTGGTTGCGAGTGGGTGGATGGGTGGGCTGAGGGTGCAAGGCCGCGGGATCTGGGGCTCTGGTGCCTCTGACTGGGCTACAAAGCGTTAAAGAACCTTGGCCCCCTCCACCCTCCACCCCCGCCTCCTCCCCGGGCTCTTCCTGTCCCTGTTGCAACACCGCCCGCCACTCTCCCTTCCCCTCCCACCTTCTCTCTCCTCTCTGCTTTAATTTTCTCCTGTAAGTTCTTTAGATTCAGCCTCCATTTCTGGCCTCCTGGGTTCGAGGTCCCTGGTCCTGGGTTGTGGTATCCTGCCCCAAGTTTCAACGCTCAACCCCCGACTCTCACCCCAAGGCCCAGACGGCGCTGGGGACCTCCTGGGCAGACCCGTGCGACTCCGGTTGCTGCCGTGCCGCTGGCGCCGCCACCACCACCGCCGCCGCCGCCGCCGCCGCCCCGAGCCCCAATGGGGGAGTGAAGCCCACAGCCGGCCCGACATGGGCCTCCCCATCGTACCTGGCCTGCTGCTGCCACTGGTGAGACCAGGGTCAAAGGGAAGAGTGGGCTGGGGGCATGCGCCTCCTGGCAGGAGGGGGCCAGACTTTCCAGTCTCGGCCTGTCCTTGGTGCCAGTCTCAGGCCGGCTTGGCCTGACCTCAGGCGCTGACCGTTCAGGTTTCCCCATTCACCCTTCTCTAGGAGAAGGGGCTGCACTGAGGCCGGGGCAGAGGGGGGCAGGGAGGGACGAGTTTGAAAGGGAGAGAGTGAAAGGAAGCTCTGACAGCCCAGGAAGTTGGATTGGGCCAGGGGGTGTCTGGGAATTTGGGGGTTGGTGGAAGGTCAAGGGTGGGGCGGATTTGGCAGGGGGGAAGAAAGGAATGAAAGAAGGAGGTGGATCCTTTTGGAGTCCAGATGATTTGGAATTTAGTCCCTCTGGGCAGCTGGATGGCTCAGGAGTGTGTTGGGTGGTAAGGCCACCTGTGGAATTCAGCTGAGCAACCTGTTAGGGCAGGAGTTGAATGGCTTGTGAAATGGGGAAACTGAGCCTGGGAAGCAGATGATGGGTTGGTGGGGTGGGTTTGGGATGCTGTGAGTGGGGGGTATTGGAGAGTGGAGTGAGATACTGGGTAGGGACAAGGCAACCAGTGGATAGCTGTCTTGGGCCCTGGGAGGCCCAGGTTTCCCACCTGGGGGCATACTCTGTCCTTCTGCCTCAGCCTCAGCTCCCAGACTCCTTCCAACCCCCTCCCCATAGACCTAAACAACAATCATTTGGTTTCTAAATCCTGTGTTCAGTTTGGGGAAGTTGGTAGCAAGTTGTTTTCGTCACTGGAAAATGTCCCTTTCTCTGGCCTCAGCCTTGTTTTAAGGTATCCTTGATCTTCACCTGTGTCCTGGAATCATCTTGCTCAGATACCTGGAGCCCCCAGCTTCCCTGCTTAGTGGGGTGGAGTTTCCTACCTTTGTGGGCAGTTTCTCCGGGTCCCTGCTGTTCCCTGTCTTTCCCCCACCATGCCTTCCTTTTCTGTCACTCTCCTGAGCCCTGCTTGTGAGCACCTTTCATCCCTCCCTCCACCTCTGTTCTCTCATCTAGTCTCACATTTCTAGACTTCAAGTGGCACCTGTCTCTGTTATGTCTCTTCTCATTTCTCCATCTTCCTGTTTCCCCAGTCCTACCTTTTCTTCCCATCTTAGGACTGTCCTTCCATTGGCTACTCTCCCCGCACCATCCAGCTGCCCTGTCCTCTTAATTCTGTTCTCTCTGTGGTGGTCGATCACCTGGATTCATGCCACAGCTTGTGAACCTGAGCTGGTTATTGACCACTAATGCTTTAAGTTCTTTATCTTTAAAATGGACATAATCATGATGATCTTGTGGTGTTATTTTTAAATTTAAATAGATGGATACATGTTAAGTGTATTTTCAATTTATTAAGTGCCTACTCTGTGAAAGACACTGTTTCAGGTGCTGGGATTTCAGTGGTGTATGAAATTCTTACTCTCAAGTTTATGGTCTAGTAGGGATAACAGAAAGCACTCAATAAATCTTTAGCTTGTACATTATTGTCATTAGTGGTATTAGTAGTAATTATTCAGTGGCTACTTGTGTTTGGAAAACAGAAAGTAAAGGTAGTCTAAATATGGGTAAATGCCTGGGCTAGGAGTATAGCTTAGTAGCAGAGCACTTGTCTAGCATTTGTGGGTTCAATCCTCAGCATGGGGTACGAGGAGAGTGCCTGGTACCAGGCTGCTGCAGCCCTGGTGGGGATGTGACCATTAGGGATGGAAACCTTGCCTGGAGCTGAGGGGGCAACAGGAGACAGGCAAGGTCTGTAGAGGGCTGTCCATGGGCTTTTCAGGTGAGCACCATTCAACTAACAGTACAGAGCACACAGTACAGAGCGCAGAGTATATGGTGTATGTGTCAGTGGGAGGTGTTGGTGGGAATAGGGAACAATGAATACGGGAAGAGTGTGGCAAAGCAAGTAGGAGTTTGCTATTCTCAAAGAGTTTGCAGTCTAGGGGCCAAGATAGCAAAAAAAGTAAAAATGACTTCAGAACACAATGGAGGAGCCAGGCTCTTATAATAGGGTTGGGGATGTGGCTTAGTGGTTGAGTACCCTTGAGGTCAATCCCAGGTACCCCGAGGAAAAGACCCATTGGAGTCCAGCTGCCTTTCTTTTTTTCTTTTTCTTTTCTTTCTTTCTTCTTCTTCTTCTTCTTCTTTTTTTTTTTTTTGTACCAAAGATTTAGCCCAGGGGTAGTTTACCATTGAGCCACATCCCCAACCCTTTTTCATATTTTATTAAAAGACAGGGTCTTGGGGCTGGGGCTGTAGTTCAGTGGTAAAGTGCTTGCCTCACATGTGTGAGGCACTGGGTTCAATCCTCAGTACCACATAAAAATAAATAAAGACATTGTGTGTTCATCTTCAAATAAATAGATATTAAAAAAAAAAAAAAAGACAGGGTCTTGCTGAGTTGCTCAGAGCCTTGCTAAGTTACTGAGGCTGGCTTTGAACTTGTGATCCTCCTGCCTCAGCTTCCTGAGCTTCTGGGATTACAGGCATACGCCACTGTACCCAGCTCCAGCTGCTTTTTCTTGCTTAGTGAATCTCAGCTCCAGGAAACCAGGAGTTTCCCCAGCTGATTCAGGTGTCTCTGCTAAGCTGTGGGCTGGAGCGCTCTTCCCATCCTAGGGCTTACAGTGGACTGTCTTCAACTCATTGAGAGTTCTTAAGAGGATGATTATCCATCTCAGCATCCCCATCACCCACATGGGGCCTGGCAAAGACCGTCCTTTAACTGTTGAATCAATTAAGGAACAAGAGATTGGTTGGATGAAATGAGGGAAGGAAAGCCTCATAGAAAAGTGGATTTGGAGGGCTGGGGATGTGGCTCAAGCGGTAGCGTGCTCGCCTGGCATGCGTGCGGCCCAGGTTCGATCCTCAGCACCACAAACAAAGATGTTGTGTCCGCCAAAAACTAAAAAATAAATATTAAAAAATTCTCTCTCTCCCCCTCTCTCTTTAAAAAAAAAAAAGTGGATTTGGAGTTGACGTCTAAGTCACTGTCTGGCAGCTAGAAGGGAGGGAGGCAGAAGAATTGGGAGACTGGTTTAGAGGAATGGAGAGATGGGATTTTGCTGAGGGGTGGTGGGGACAGGAGCTAAATATACTACTAGCTGGCCTGGAACCTCCATGTGAGGAACAGTAGAAAATGAGAGTGGAAATATTGGAGTGAGTGGGTATGTGTGAAAAAGAACCTTGAGTATGGATCCAGGTGGAGAGTTTCATTCATTAACTATTCTTTAGCGGCCCATTCTGTGCCTAGACTATGTTCAGAATAAAAGTGCCTAGATATCCCTGACATGTGCATTCAGGGAAGGAATGAAAATGATGTTTCCAGCAGGCCCTGGAGATGGAGAAGATTCTCACACTTGTGGTACAAGTTGAAGCCTGAACACAGATAAGAAAGTATGTGGGAAGCCTGACAAGGTGGCTGCAGTCCCAGCTCCCTGGGAGGCAAACAAAGGCAGAAGAATCACTTGAGCCAGGAGTTCAGGGCATTCTGAGCAGCATAGGAAAGATTGGAACAGGAAAGAGAAAGACCTTTACAATCATCAATAATCCAGATGTGAGGCCATCGAGGAACATGGAGAAGAAAGAAAAATCACAGAGGAAGGACTGGCAAATGAACTGATAGGACAGCAGCAGGGTTAGGGACAGGGGCTGTGAGGAGAGGGCTGGGCAAATATCTTGGCATTGGCACCAAGAATTTTGTGGTGTGACTCTAGGTGAGAGATGAATGAATTAAGTTTGGGGCATATTAAGGGTTGGGGACTAGCCAAGTGGAAATGTGGGTCTTAACAGCGGGTCTCAAAATCTTCAGTAGAGGCATGTGCGTGTGTGTGCCTGTGTGTGCCTGTGTGTGTTGGGAATGCTGAGTCTGAAAACTCTCCCCAGGTTATAAATGTACTTTAATGTGGGGAGTGCTGTCTCCCCACTTCCCTCTTGAAGTCATCATTAGTTTCAACTAGAATGGAAGACAGACTGATCAATCCATGTTAATCTGTCCCTCTAGTTCTGTGGGCCTGATAGAGAGGATTCCCGTGAGAGGAAGACAGGGCTCTGACCAAGATACTCTCTGATCTCTCATTTCATGGGGCTTGTGGTCTGTTTGGGAAGATCATATCTATTCATCTTAAATAACCTTTGTATGATAAGAGACCAAAGTAGGTATGGTCAGTTCGTGTTATTCAAGGTTGCTGAGGGATGAGTGGCTAATGAACTTGGGTGAGGAAAACATGTGTCATCATCAATAGAGGGCTTCATGGTGGGGGTGGGATTTCAACAGGGTCCTTGGAGGAGACAATATCATGAGCTCTTCCAAGATCTTGACATTAAATGGACAAACACATTTTAATTTAATGAACACATTGTTGTGGGGAAATGGCAGAGCAAAGTGGGTCCCTGAGAGGTGGCTGGGTCAGGGTTAGACCACAGGGTCCATCTCTACTTCTCCACTCTACTCTGCAGCCCTGGGACCAGCACCGGAAGTCACACTTTAAAGTCTCCCCAGACGGAAGTTGTGGGGGGAGATGAAGAGGTGCTGGGTCACCCCCTCAAGTCTCTCTCCACAGGAACCCCCAGCTTCCTGCCCTTCCTCTGCTCCAAGTAGAGGCAGTCAGACTGGGGTTGGGCCCTCAGAGCTCACCTCCTGGTTCTATAGTTTTGCCACTTAAGACAAGTGCTATGGATTGGGCTCACTGGGCCAGCTGGTGCCAACAAATGGTGCCCACTGGTGGGGAGCCTGAGGGCCCTGGCACCTTAGGGTCAGAAAGGGCTGGCCTGGAGCATGCTGTGAGCAGTGAGAGGCTTGAGCAATAGAGCTGGTTCCTTCTCACATCTTTTTTGCTTGCTCTCTCATTCCTGGAAATGAGTTTTTATGGCTCTGCAGTTTTTCCTGTGCAGTCACTAGGCTTGGAAAGGAGCTATGGAGCCTCAGAACTGGCCCTATTTTCTAGGGATTGTCCGGGACTTCAGGGAGGTTCCCAAACCCAACACAACTAGCCAGAACAAGGCAGGCTGTGGGAATGTGGTGAACCCAGAGTGGGAGGGCAGCCTTGGATGGCTTCCTATTGGAACTAAGGGGTGTCAGGAGGCTGGTGCAAGAGTCCAGGGAAGGGTTTATCTGTCCTCGAACTTGTTGAACTGGGAGAAGAAACAGGGCGGGGCCTAGTCTAAAGGAAGGATGCGGAGGGGGGGAAGGAACTGAGTGGTCCTCTGGGAGGGGCAGCTATTGACCTGAAGGGCGGAAGCCAAGGGTCGAGGGAGACTTCCCTTTGGGATGGACTGGAAGAGGGAGGCATTTCCCTGAAATCTGTGGGCCAAGTGGGACAGGGGTCCATTGCCTGTCTCTTTTAAGGAGAACAGGGGGTGAAAAGGGGTGCTGAGTAGAGTGGGAGAGAGAGATGGGCCCACTGGAGGAAGGGATGAGATGGCATCCTACTTGCTGGCTGGCCCTGCCTTTTGCTGACTCATGACCCTTGAGGAGCTGGGGAAGCTGAAGTTGATAGTTCCTTCTCCTCTCCCCTCCATCCCCTCCCTCTGGACTGAGTCACTGGGGCGGAGCTGCTGGGAAAAGATTTCCCCTTCCCGGATCTGACTTAACCCCCAAAGTTCTGGATAGGGAGGGACACGTGTGTGCTTGGCCTGAGAAAGCCTCTCTCCTTACTTGCCTCTATGAGGCTCATTCCTCACCGGCCAGAGGTCCCTGAAAAGCTCCCTTCAAGGCTATCCTGGAACTGGAGCCCCTCAGTGCCTCTTCCTGACTGCCTCTGCCCGTTGGCTTTGCTCCAAGCCCCTTGGATAGGATTCAAAGTGTCAGTGACCTTAGGTACTCCATGTTCTTCTTCGGGGAAAGGAACCACACATTTCAGGATTGGGAAGTTCTTCCCATAACCAACCCTTCCTGTTGCCCTAGGAGCCCCTGCCTTCTGAGTGTGTGGGCACACGCCTGCCTACAGGGGTTGCTACTGTTTCTGTGTATGGCTTCCCATGTTTGTGGCTGAGGTTTGAGCTTCCGGACCTGCGCAGCCGCTGGCAGCAGTGGCTCCTGGCAGATGACAGGGTGCAACTTGCCTGCCTGCTTGGAGCTGTTAGGACCTCAGGGCCTGCAGGGAGCTGTCAAGGCCGGGCGGCTGTGGCCTGCCAGGCCTTCTCCTGGGTTTCTATGATCCAATTAGTCTGTTTCTCCCCAGTGGGGCTGCTCTTGTGTGTGTGTGTGTGTGTGTGTGTGTGTGTTTGTGTGCCGGGGTTTGAACCAGAGAAATACTATCACTGAACTACATAATCCACTCTTTTAAAATTTTATTTTGAGACAGGGTCTTGCTAACTTGCTCAGGGTCTCACTCAATTGCCCAGGCTGGTCTCAAACTTGTGCTCCTGCTGCCTGAGCTTCCTGAGAAACTGGAATTACAGGCATTACATCATGTGCCATCATGCCAGGCTTATCCCAGTGTTTAATAAACTTTTGAGGACATCCTAAATTGTTACAAAAAATGGCTCGTATCAGGGGGAAAGGAGAAGAATCAAGGCTCAGAGAGAACCAAAAATGAAGCCAGGACAGATTAAAGAGCAGTCTGAGCGGAGCTAAATACGACTCCTGGCTTTGCTTTCTCCATACTGAAACCAGAACCAGGAAAGCAATTTAGCTGCTGTGGGCCTGGCCCAAACCTACGCAGCTCTGAAGTCTGCCTTCCAGATACCCTGCTGTGCAAAGGGCTGATCTCAGGCACACCCTCCTGACCAGTCAGTTGAGCCTGATCTCCAGCTTCTGGACAGCTCTAGTTACTTGTGACCTGCATGCCTTTGCCCACTCCTGCTCCCACCTAAAGTTTCTCACCGCCTACCCTATCCTTTACCCCTGAAGTTTCACTTTGACTCCCCTCCCTATTTGTCCTCACCAGCTTAGTGTGTGTGCTTATAAATTTAGCTGTGGAAGGTGATGCGGCATGAAGTATGCGGGCAGGGTCCTGAATAAGGTTTGATGCTAATGTATAAAGAAATGCTTGGCTGGGGGTGTAGTGCTTGCTTAGCTTATAGGAAAAAAAAATGTCCTTCTTTTGCTTCTGTCTACTCCCTAGGGATGGTACCTGTAGGAATGTCATTCACCTTCATCCCCATCTGATTTTCCCAAAATACTTTTTATAATTTATTTATTTTTGTGGTACTGGGGATTGAACCCAGGGGCACTTGATCACTAAGCTACATCCCCAGCCCTCTTTTAGTGTTTTAGTTTGAGGCAGGGTTTTGTTAAGTTCCCCGGGCTGGTCTTGAATTTGTGATCTTCCTGACTCAGACTCTTTCATTTCTGGAATTACAGGCATCCCCCACCCATGCTCAGCTTATCCAAAATACTTTTTAGTGGTATAACAATCCAGGAAAGTTTACAGATCCTAACTGTTTTCTTCTGTAAATGTTTACAAAGTGAATACACTGAGAACCCTGCCAGACACAGATGGAGAAATGTCACCTCTATCTTTAGGGTGGCTAGTTGGAAAAAAAAGGGCCATAGTGGAAGTGATCTGCCGGTTCCCAATCCAATAAAACATCTTCTGGGCTGGAGGTGTAGCATGTGTGCTTAGCACATGGGTGGACCTGGGTTCCAACTCTAACACTGCAAACAACGACAACTCTAAACATTCCTTGAACATCTGCCCTGTGGCCAGCAATGTTGGCTGTGGTGGGGAACTGTGAATCAGGATAAGATATAGCCTGGGCCTGGGGCTTACTAGACTTGATTTGAAGGAGCAAAACTTAGCACACAGGACAGCTAGAGAACAATTAAGTGCTAGATTGCTCTGCATCCCCTGTCCAAGGGGCGAACAGTTCCTTGAGGAAGGACTTGAGCCACAGAGGTTTTAGATTTGCTGCCCCTAGTCCGCCCGCCCCTCCCTCTCCTGATGGTGTCCCCTCTCTCTGATTCTTCCTCAGGTGCTTCTGAACGTGTTGGTGGGGATACACCCCTCAGGGGTCATTGGACTGGTCCCTCCTCTTATGGACCGGGAGAAGAGGGATAGTCTATGTCCTCAGGGGAAATACAACCACCCTCAAAATCATTCCATCTGCTGTACCAAGTGCCACAAAGGTAGGAGAAAGTGGTAACAGTGAGTCCCCTCAGTTGTGGGGCCTTGAGTCTTCCTTTGCTTGTTACAGATGTTCGAGAACTTAGGACCCACCCTGATTCCTCTAACTTTACTGCCTCTATTGGGCTGGAATTTTCTCCCTCTTTTCTTCTCCTAGAGACTTCCTTCTGTGAGCTCTGAGCTCAGCCTAACCCTGACACCCCATTTGTAGGAACCTACTTGTACAATGACTGTCCAGGCCCAGGGCTGGACACGGACTGCAGGGAGTGTGAGAATGGCACCTTTACTGCTTCAGAGAACCACCTCAGACAGTGCCTCAGCTGCTCCATGTGTCGGAAAGGTGTGTCTCAGGAGAGGCTGAGGGCTCTAATGGGAGTGTGTATGGTCCAAATTCTTGGGGGGACTTGAGTGTCCTGTGAGGTATGTGCATCGATGCTGGGGGGTGTGGGCAGGATGAGTGTGCTCGTGTGGGCTGTATGCGTGGTGTGAATGTATGTTACAGAGACAGGTGTATGTGGTGGTGGGGGTGAAGGGACACAGGGAAAGGAGAAGTTGAGTAAATATGGCAAAGGGATGCAGAACTCAAGCCCCATCTTCTTCCCTCACCAGAACTATCCCAGGTGGAGCTTTCTCCTTGCACAGTGAACCAGGACACTGTGTGTGGCTGCAAGAAAAACCAGTTCCGCCAATATTTTAGTGGAAAACGTTTTCGCTGCATGAACTGCAGCCTCTGCCTCAACGGAACCGTGAATATCCCCTGTGAGTGTGGCCTGCCTGATCCCAAGACCAAGCCATCCCTGCCCTGGGGTCAGCCCATCTCCCAGAAGGAAGGTCGTCACCTTGCTGCACCCTATGAGGAGTGTGCCCCTTCCTACTCCTGTGGTCATGGGTCTGAGGACCATGTCCATCCCACCCTACCCCACCTTCGTCTTCTGGTCCCCAGGGTGCAGGGTGCATCTTCTGTAGCTGTGCCTTCTCCCCACAGGCCAGGAGAGCCAGAACACCGTGTGCAACTGCCATGCAGGGTTCTTTCCAAGAGAAAATGAGTGTGTCTCCTGCAGTGAGTGAGTATCTGCCAGCAGCAGGTGTTGGATGGGGGGCTGAGATGAGTGGGGTGACTGTGGTTGAGAGGCCCTAGCAGAGCAAGGGAAACACTCAGAATGCACATTCTCCTACTGGCCAGCCAAGTGGGAGACACTTCATCAAGATACCAGACGACCTTCCCTCTTCCCCAAAAAATGTTCCTCAAATCTTAAGAAGTCTTTGAGCCAGGCTCAGTGGTGTACTCCTGTAATCCCAGCAGCTCTGGAGGCTGAGGCAGAAGGATCACAATTTCAAAGCCAGCCTCAGCAATTTAGCAGGGCCCTAAGCAACTCAGCAAGACTCTGTATCTAAATAAAATGTAAAAAAAGGGCTGGAGATGGGGCCCAGTGGTTAAGCTCCTGAAGGGTTCAATCCCCAGTACACACACACACACACACACACACACACAAGTCTTTGGATAGAAGCTCATTCCCCCAGGACTTGCAGTCCTTCCAATTCAGGTTTTCAAACACTTGAGCAACAGGGTGTATTGTTGTTCATTGATTCTAGGACATCATCTACTTTCACATTTCTGAAATCAGACTGTGCCTTACAACAATTGATGATGTATCATGGTTTAATTGGCAGCTTTTGAGCATGTGCTGTGTGTGTGGTATATCAAGAATGGTATCTCTTATTATTGATGGCATCTTAGGTTTGCTATGATATGGTATTTCTGCCTCAGTCCTCTTGATAAGGCCTTCTCATTCCTGGATCAGTAGATGCTGTTCTTTTCTTTCTTTCTTTTCTCAGTACCCAGGAGTGCTTTACTACTGAGCTACATTCCCAGCCCTTTTTATTTTTTATTTTGAGACAGAGTCTCGATAAGTTGCCTGGGCTGGCCTTAAAACTTGCTGAGGCTGACTTTGAACTTGCAATCCTTCTGCCTCTGCCTCCCAAGTCACTGGGATTACAGTGACTTGTCACCATGCCTGACTCAGAGGTTGTTTTTGCACACTTGCTTGCAAAGAAGAAATTTTGAGGGCTCTCAGAGTTGAACTGACCTGGACCTAAATCCCAGCATAGCTACTTGGAAGCTGTACAACCTTGGGCAAGTTATTAACATCTCTGAGCCTTATTTTTCTTACCTTTAAAGTAAGGATATTGGGGCTTAGGGTGTAGATCAGTGATAGAGCACTTGCCTAGCACTTGGGAGGCCCTGGTTTCTGTCCCCAGTAACATACACACATACATACACACACTTACAAAAGTGTCTGACACAAAACTGTTTATTTTCTTTTTTTCAACCAAGCGTTATTCTTCTTGAGAGTTTTTACCTTCATCCCACATGGTTTTCACCATGAGCTTGTGAGGTGGGCCAAAGTGCCTTTCCCTGCTGTCAGATTCCTACTAAGAACTCATGTTCTCAAGCTCCTTCTAGCTTCCCCAATGTAGTTATCACTCCACATGTGAAAATGTGCTGCTTCTATAGAGGACTCTGGCTGCCCTTAGTGAGATGTAGGGGCATCTGTGTGGGGTGCAGCAAAGTGACGACCTTCCTTTCATGTGCATGTTTGTCACCCCCACACTCAAAGCCAGGTACTATCACTGACAATGTTATTTGAGAAAAAGTGCTTTAGACCTCTTGTGTTGTCTGCATTCCATCCCTGTGACATACTACCTGAGGCAATCAACTGATAAGGAGGAAAACTTTATTTTGGCTCAGAGTTTCAGAGGTTTTAGTCGATGATCATCTGGCTCTACTATTTCTGGTCCTGTGATAAGGCAGAACATCATGGCTGGAGTATGTGGTAGACCAAAGCTGCTTACCTCATGGAGGTTGGAAAACAGGGAAAGAAAGAAACTGGGGGCAGGGGAGAGGGGCTGTGGGCCCATTTTAATCCAAGAGCCCATCCCCAGTGACCTAACTTCCTCCCACTAGGCCCCACCTCCTAGAGGTTCCACCACCTCCCAGTAGTGCCTCAGACTGGGACCCAGCCTTCAACACATTGGGGAGACATTCCAGATCCAAACCATAGCACCTCTCTCTGCCACAATCCTACCAACAATGTATTAATAAACAATATTATATCAATATTGTATTAATAAACTTATTAATAATTACCATTTATCAAGTACTGACGATGTCAGGCTAATTAGCCCTATTGTACTGGTGAGAACACTGAAGCTTAGAGGTGAAATGACTTGCTTATTTCACAGTGATACTTAATGAATGGGCTGGAATTTATATCCTGACCTTAACTACCTTGAATTTTATTTTTTTTTCCGATGATGGAGATGGAACCTAGGGCCTGGTGCAAATGTTCTACCATTGAATTATACCCTGGTCTTGTAACCTTGAATGCTTTTAACTTTCTCAACATAGCTTTTTCAAGATCCCTTCTAAATCTAAAATTAAATAGTTCTGTGATTAACTGTTTCATTCTTTTGCATCACTTCTCAAGATAGGTTAAATTCCATTATATTAAGAGATAGCAAAAAATATTTGTAAAGCAAAGCATTTCCAACAATCTTTGTGTTCCTCTTGTTGTAGAGTCTCTTTTCACCAGTGCTGTCTCTTCTTTTAGATGTAAGAAAACCCCAGACTGCATGAATTTGTGTCTTCCCTTACTTAAAAATTTTCAGCCCCCTCCGGACTCAGGTAAGGAGAAGCCATATTGTGCCCATGTTCACCTGGCCTCCTGCCACCCCACGCATCCCTGGCTGTTCCCCCTCCCCTCCCCATTTACTGTGATCTGCTTTGTCTTCAGGTACTACAGTGCTGTTGCCCCTGGTGATCCTCTTTGGTCTTTGTCTTTTTTCCTTACTCCTCATTGGTTTAATGTGCCGCTACCCGCGGTGGAAGTCCAAACTCTACTCCATTGGTGAGTAGTGCCTTTGGGAAGGGAAAGAGTGTTTGGTGGAGATGTAGGAGATTAGATGGGTAAGATGGAGGGATATGAGAGGAAGTGTCCTTTTAGTTTGCTGCTGAGGACTCCAAGCTAGAGGTGGTCCTGGATGGCTGGTGGGAGGTAATGTGGCATCAGTAGTTCTCTAGTCCCCAGGGCCACATAGGCCCTGAGGCGTGTCACCGCAAGTCCCCATGGCCAGTCCCAGTGCAGGTTGCCAGGGCTGAGAGGGGAAGTGAAATTTATGATGGTTTCTCTCTCTCTCTCTCCCCTCAGTTTGTGGAAAATCAACTCCTGTAAAAGAGGTGAGATGAAACCTGGGACCTACCCCAAACTTCCCTGACTATTCCTCATAATTTTGGAATACCCAAATGTCTTTCACCATATGGGCTCTAGTAGTAATCCCATTTATCCCCAGACCCTCCAGAATAAAGAAGTTTGAGTTATTTTCTCTTCTCTTTCATTAATGCTGTGCCTTCTCTCTTTCAGGGGGAGCTTGAAGGAATTCCTACCAAGCACCAAGACTCAGGCTCCAGTCCCTTCCTCAGCCCCACCCAACCCTCCTGCCCCACTGATTGGTCCAACTTCAGGGCTGTGTCACCTCTGAGGGAGGTGACCCCAACCCACCAAGGGGCTGACCCCATCCTCACCATGCCCGTCACCTCCACGCCCATCGTCACCCCGGTTCAGAAGTGGGAGGACACCGCCCGCATGCAGCGCCCTGATGGTGAGTTTGGATGGAGCAAGGCTACATGGAGGGTGCCAGGGAAGGGCCGCCAATGGAGGTTCATTGTCTTTATCCTCTGTAGCCGACCCTGCGACGCTGTATGCAGTGGTGGATGGAGTGCCCCCATCGCGCTGGAAGGAGTTGGTGCGGCGTCTGGGACTGGGTGAGCACGAGATCGAGAGGCTGGAGCTGCAGAACGGGCGCTGCCTGCGCGAGGCGCACTACAGCATGCTGGCTGCATGGCGGCAGCGCACACCACGACACAAGGCCACTCTGGACCTGCTGGGCCAAGTGCTCCGCGACATGGACCTGCTCGGCTGTCTGGAGAATATAGAGGAGGCGCTGCGTAGCTCCTCCTCCTCCTCGCCCACAACCAGCCTCCTCCGATGAGGCCACGCCCCCGCCTCGGGGAAGAACACTGTCCTTGTGACCGCTGCTTCCAACTCGCGCCTCCTGCAGGGATGATCTTGCAACATGCCCCCTGGACCTCGTTTTCTGGAGAGAAAGGGCCTTGGAGGGGAAAGCGAGAGCCGGCAGCCGGCAGCCGGAGTCACTTACTCTGTGCTACCCGCTCCGTGTATATAGCTTTTCTCAGCTTGGCTGAGAGTTTCCAGAGCCCAAAGAGTGGTTTCTGGGATAGGTGCACCATGCCTCATGCCTGTTTTGGGTGTGGGGGACCCAGCAAGACTGCCTAGGGGCTCCTGGTTGGTCCTGGGCCCTTTTTCACAATAGATAAGCAATCTTTGAATCAATTATATCACACTAATGGAAACTTGGCACCATTTGCCCCCTGTCCAGGCAAGCACAGAGTAAGCTGAATTGTCCCAAAGCAGGGGCAAGCACAGAACAATGGGACTTCCAGCTGGAGCTGTGGACTTTTGTAAATACACTAAAACTGGGAAATTAAACCTCTGTGCCTGGAGGAGTGGTCATTCAGTGTGAGAGCCTGGGGCAGAGACCACAAATCTGAGCGGTGCAATGGTCCTGACTAGGGCCAGCAGTCCACTGCCATCATGCTAGCTGACAGAGGAGAAGGCTGGGCTTATTGTGATTCCCCTTCCCAAGTTCTTGTTCTTCTCCTACTGATCTAGCACAGACCAAGCAGTCATTTTTGTGTACAACTTTTATGTGGGGCTCATGGGTGTCTATGATACATAAATTTACAGTTCTTGACCCTCAAAGTCCAAAGAGCAAGAGGCAGTGTGGTCCTTGAGGTAGAGTCCAGGATGGGGGGTGGTGACCAGCACTCTTAGGGAGATAGTTCTTCTGGGAGAAAGGTCAAAGGGCCTCGACATTTCTCATACCTCTCTGAAAAGGAAGGAGGTAGATGTTAGGTCAATGGCAATGGGAAAGTGAGGGTCAGGCATGAGGTGAAGGAGGAGGCTGGGGTCCTTCCCTGCCTTGGTCTCTGCTCTGCACTGCCCTCTTTCTATCCTGCCACCCTGCCTCCCCCAACTCCATACTGCCCTTCTTCCCTCCCATGCCAGCTTCCCTTTAGCACTTACGAAGTGGACAGGGGGGTGTCCAGCTTTATGATGTGATGCCCACGCATCCTCTGCAGCTGGGCCCGAGTCAGCTTCCGAGGTCTGCTGTCCCTAGGCTCTGGGGCTCCCTCAATCCTTTGGCTGGCCAATTCCTCTCGGATCTCCCTGAGCATGTCCTCAGCCCGGAGTGGGCGGGAGCAGGGGCTGTAGCCAGGGCCTAGGAAGAGAAGCCCCTCATCTTCCTCTGAGGACTCCCAGGGGCTCTCTCCAGCAGAGTCAGTGTGGTTCTGGGAGGAAGGGAGCTGCCCCCGAAGTTGGGCTCTGTGCAGGGTTTCTTCCACCACGTTCCTTCCTGCTGAGGATCCATCTTCCTCCTCTGACCAGGTAGGTGGGTCTACCCTCGGAAGACTGCCCCCTCTTTGGATCCCTTCTGGCAGTTCAGGGGCACTTCGGCGTTGGGGCGCTTGGGGATCAGCTGGCTGGGGGCGCAAAGGAACATTTCGAAGATCCAGGGTGGAGAAGGTCAGCCGAGGGTCCCGCTTAAGAGCCCTGGGGCGCAGACGGCTTAGCCGAGAGTGGGATGCCTTGGGGGAGCTTGACATCAAAGTGCCATAGCCAGAGTCTGAGGTATCATCTGGTACAGAGGGAGCATCTTCATCTGTATCTTCAGTCACCACAAGGTGGGGGATGATGACGGTGAACTCAGGAGTCCTACAATAAATAACAAATGGTCAGACTCAGATACTTAGATACTTAGGGTCAAGTTCATGCCTAGATGTCTCTCTGGATTACTCCATCCAGAAATGGCTCCTTCTCCGAACTTATCTCCTTATTTCCCTTACATGGCTCGGATTGTTTTTCTCATCTCACCAGCTACACCGTGCACTCTAAAATAGTTTGCGCTGCCTCTAAGCCATTTTATCCATAGAACCTGGTCTAGGACCTTGTATAAACAGGTGGTCAGAGTGGATCTAGAGCTGGGGGTTACTCAATTATGCCCCGATGATGGGTTCTTCTTTTCTCCATAAGCATGTTGCTAAGCAGCTGTGTTGTCCTGGATGAACGTCTTACACTCTGGGGATTGGACTTGCCGCAACCCTACAGTTCTGATATTCTGCATACCCATACCCATCTGCTCATTCTGAAGCCTGCTCCTTGCAGGGAGTTCATGTGTCATATTTCTGTTTTCTTTACTCCGTGCCCATTGTAGGCTCACCCTAGGCTGGCTGACCTTTACAGCCTGTCCCATGCATTCCTTCATACGGCTGGCACCAACCTACTCTACTCCAGCTTGTAGCCTGTGTTCCTCTATTCATGTAGTTCCCTAAGGTCGTACTATCACTTCTCAACCTTTTGGATTTCTCCTCTTCCCTTCTTTGCCAGTGATCCCCTTCTTTGTTGGTGCTTGTAGGTCTTACCTCCCCTCAGCACTGCTTTGAGAGCCCTCTGGGGAAGGCGTGGAGGGCCTGGTGCTGGGGGACTCCCTGCCTTGGTCCCGGTAGAGGGCCAGGAGATCCCTCTTCTGTTGGACGTACTCCTCTGCCTTCAGTTTCTGCAGGGCAGCCTGGTGGGGGTGGGGAGGACTTCATTATTAAGAATTCTAATTTACTGAGCACTTGCTGTATGCTGGGCACTGTGTAAGTGCTTTCCATACATTATCTAGTTTAACCCTCACAAGACCCCTCTGAGGCAAATATGTTTACCCCTACCTTAATAGTGAGAAACGGAGTCTGGAAGGTTAAGTAACTGTTGAGGGATAGTTTTTGAGTAAGAAAGCAGGGTGGTGACTGGGTTCGGTGGCACCAAACTCTAGAGCTGGTGCTTGGGAAGAGTGGGAGGAACAGAATGGCCTTTTCCACCTGTATACTCCCTGCTTCTCATGACCCTTTGGTAGACTCTCAGATGTGCACCCTCCTTCAGGCTGATTGGGGTATTGGTGACATAAGTGCTCTGAATGTTATCAGCCTTCAAGTTGCTCTTTGGGAGCATCCTTCTCCCACCACTTGGACCTCTGCCCTGAAGCTGGAAGGTGCAAAAGGCAGAGGGTGGGTAGGAGCAGGATTTGTCCTAGGCTGCAAACTCTGCTGCCCTTTAGAGAGGGGAAAGCAAGACTGTCTTTGGAAGGATGAGAAGAGGATACATTATATGGTCTGCCTGTCTTCCTTGTTTTTATACAGCTGCATTAGAATAAAATAGTAACATCTGAGAAGTGATTTACAAAGTACCTCCACATGCAAGTTGTCATTTGCTTACACACCACCACTCTGCAGGGTGCAAGACAGTTGCAGTGACTTGCTCAAGGTTGCATAGGTACAGAGGAGCAGAGCTGGCCAGGGCCACTCTCTTTAAGTTCAAGTTCAGTAACTGCATAGATTTTCAAGGGCAGCCTTGAAAGGTCAAGAGGTACTCAAAGATGCTAGCTTGGGGAGGAGACAACAGAACCTGGGGAGAGGTTATAGGTGGAGACTTAGCAAGAGGTGGGTAGAGGTGGCTACTGTGGGCTGCACTAAGATCAGTACTTACTTGCATGTTGTTAAAACTCTGAAGCACTTCCTCAGAGCTGGTAAGGAAATGCTGCAGCCGGAGCCCCACGCCCCACCTCCTCCAAGCACAACAGGGACTTTAAGTACTAACCCCCACTCCCACAGCTTCACACCCCCTCCACGATGCTCCATTAAGATTCTCTGATTCCTTATTAGTTGTTCCATGTTTTTAGTTTCAGCTTGAGTTATAGGAGCCAGCAACTTCTGGGCTTTTCCAAAGCTTCTCCAGAAATACTGGGGGCAGCTGGGTCAGGACAAGAGGCATGTTGGAGAAATGATGAACAGGGATAGGAAAGTGACATCAGGCTGATATCTCTAATTCTTTCCCTGGCTCTCTAGTCACTCAGCCAGAACAGAGGATGGTGTTTGGGGGCAGGAAACTAACATACCAAGGCCAAGTCCTGTGACTACTCCCTCTTCTCCCGGCCTCATTTCCCAACTCAGTGTGGGTTGAGAGAAGGAATGAGAAAAAGGAGAGTGGAAGGGCTGTGGCAGCCTGCTTCTCCTGATGAGATGCAATGCCCTTTTGCCCCACGTTCAAGTTTGTGTTTGGAATGCCCAGGATAGGGATGCAGTGTGGAAGGAAAGAATGGGAAAGGTGAGGGGGGTTCTGTAAGGAACATCAAATGCAAGCATCTCCACTACCCTTGCCTCTTGCCCTTCCTAGGAAGCAGTGGGAAGGCGGGGGAAACCTTGAGTGTCAGGCCCAGGACTACCAGCTACCTCAAAACCTCTCCAGAAGCCCTGGGAGGATTTTCTCAGTTTGGGTAAGAGGAGAGGATGGAAGGGCAGTGTAGGAAAGGAAGAGAAAACTGGTAGTCGAGCTGGAAGGTGACATCCTCACACAGCTGGGAAAAGGAAGGAAGAGCCCCCCAGCAGATTCATCTTTCTTTGTCCATGGCGAGGCCTGGAGAGGCAATGCTTCCCCTCCCTGAAGTTTCAGAGTGGCTCCAGATTCACCGTTCCCTTCCTGGAGCTCCCTGACACTGGCCTAAATGGGTCACCAGAAGGTCCTTGCTGACTTCCTAAGTGACAGATGTGAATGTGTTTCCCCAGCCCTGGCACCACTGCTCACCCCTTTCTTCTAAAGAGGACAATGACATGGGCTGGGGATGTGGCTCAAGCGGTAGAGCGCTCGCCTGGTATGCGTGCAGCCCGGGTTCGATCCTCAGCACCACATACAAACAAAGATGTTGTGTCCACCAAATAAATAAATAATTAAATATTAAAAAAAAAATTAAAAAAAAAAAGAGGACAATGACAGACATTCATGAAGTGCCCATGAAGTGCAGGGTCTTGTGCCAGGCCCTTTAGACAATTTTCCATCTACCCCGTGTGATAGTTTCCATTATCACTGTGGTTCTCCAGATGAAGGCCAGGCGGGCTAACTTACCTAAGAACACAGGCAGCTACCAGTGGCTTCTGCAGGCTCTGGATTCTCTTTGGACCCGACTCTTCCCCTCAGCTGCCTTCTTCAGTCTGCCCTGCTTTTATTTCCTGCTTTCATCTTTGACAGCGCTTTCTGTTCCCTTTATTGGTTCCTTTTCCTCTTCCCAACAGCTAAATATGGGCATCTATTCAGATTCAGTCTCTCCCCAGTTGACAAGCTCGTTTTCTCTAAAAGCATAAGCCTCTTCTACTAGGCCCACTAGGGCCTTCATCTAGGAAGAAACCTCAATATTTCTGTAAGGCGGAAAGTGAAAAGACAGATCCCTGGGGTTGCTTGATGAAGGGGACCAGTAGATGTTCTACTACCTTCTTCCATTTTGAAACTTATGTTAGCTGGGCTTGGTAATGTCATCTGTAATCCCAGCTACTCAGGAGGCTGAGGCAGGAGAAGTGCAAGTTTGAGACCAGCCTCAGCAATTTAGGGAGAACCTGTCTCAAAATAAAACAAAAAGGGCTGTGGATGTAGTCCAGTGGAGGAGCACTCCCTGGATTCAATCTCTAATACCTTAAAAGATTGATGTTAATTGAGAAAAAAAAGAATTTGATATGAAAGAACAGCAGCAAAACTAAGTATAATGTTGCTTGTTTCTTTGGTTCCTTAAGGGAGGTGGGGAGCCTCAGTATACAGTTTGGTCATAGGTCAGAAATAATCTGTCTCTCAACTTGGAGTGTGACTGCCAGGGGCTAGATAGTTTTGTATATGAATAACAGCAATTTTTAGTGGTCACTAGGGATCCTAGAGGAAGAAGGAGCGGGAGGGGTTGTCATAAGACTGGAAAGCAAATGAAGAGAAGAAAGTTCTGAAGAGAAGGGTGGCAAAGAAAAAAGTCTCCCTGCCAGTAATGGTCACCTCTGCCTGCTGTTCTGGGGATGCTTGCTTCCAGTTTCTCCCATATCTCCCCTAGAATGGTATCCCTTAGCCTTTGGGAAAGCTTCATTAACTACTAGAATGGGGTCAGTTGCCAATCAGTCCAATGCCTGGAACCTGTGTTTAGGACTGGTAAGAAGTGGTATAGAGAGATCCTGCCATGCAGAAAGGGGATTATGGGAGCAGGGGCCAGGGCAGATGGGAGACTACCCTTGCTCCAAAAGCCATATACTTCCACTGCTCCAGTCCCCTACCTTTAACCTCCTGGGGCTTGTCCCTATGTCATTCAGGTATTCAAGAAAGTTGCAGCCCCATGGATCTGGAGGAGACAAAGTGTTTCACCCTAATTTCTCACCTGAATTCTAGGCCCATGTTTCCATATTTCCAAAAGCCCCTAAAATACTCCCATTTGACTATCTCCCATTGCCTCAATTTCAAAGTAAATAGTGGCACCCAGGACTGGGGTTGTAGTCAGCATTTGACTAGCATTTTTGAAGCCCTGGGTTCAATTTTCAACACCACTAAATAAATAAACAGAATATTACTACCCATCCCACTCCTTCTAGGAAGTATAACAACTAGACAAATAGGCTTCTCTTTCTAATGGTTCCACTCATCAGGGTTCCCCTTGCCAAAGCAGTCCTTCAAACAGAAGCTTCAGAAGGCCATCATTATCTTTGTACTTGAGTCCTGGAGTAACTCTTACCATTTGCTCACATAAAACCTGTGCTCTAGACTTAGACACATGTGGTCACTGTTCCAAAAGCAAATTCAGCCCCATTGCTCAGGATCTTGCCCAGGGTCTTCTGATTCTTCTGTTCAGGGTCTTGCCCAACCTTAAAAATTCAACTCCAGGGCTGTGGAGGTAGCTCAGCCGTACAGCCCTTCCTAGCATTCAGGAGGCCCTGGGTTCTATCCACAGCATCACAAAACAAAACAAAAGAAAACAAAACACAAAAAACTAGCCAACCAACTAAACAAAAAAGTCCAACTCAAAGTTTCAACTCTCTTTGCCCATTCTGTTCCTGTGGTGGGCTGGCAAGCAGCCCCCATCCCCCAAAATAAGACTGAATCCCCAGAACCTATAAATGTGACTTTTTCTAGAAAAAAAGTCTTTGCAGATGTGCCATTTTAAGAATTTTAAGAGAAAATCTCAGATTTCAGATGGATTCTAAATCTAATGCTTGGCGTCTTAATAAAAGAAAGGAATGGGGATTTGGATATATATATATATACACACAGAGAAGAAGGTCATGTACAGACCGAGGCAGAAACTGGAGCCAAGAACCACATGGAACCCACCAGAAATTGGAAGAGGCACAGATTGTCCCCTAGAGTCTGGTCGGAAAGCTCTGTCCTGCCAACAACTTGATTTCCTACTTCTATCCCCCAGAACTGTGAGAAAAGCAGTTTCTGTTTTTATTTATTTATTTGTGGTAATGAGGATTAAACCCAGGGCCTCATGCATGCTAGGCAAAGGCTCTACCACTGAACTTCATCCTCAGCCTTCTTCTTCTTCTTCTTTTTTTTTTTTTTAAATTTTGAGTCAGGGTTTTACAAATTGCCCAGACTAGCCTTGAACTTGTGATCCTCCTGTTTCCACACCCCAAGAAACTGGAATACAGGCGTGTGCCACTTTGCTAATCCTTTTTTTTTTTTTATGGTGATAGGAATGGAACCCAGGGCCCTGAGCATGCTAGGCAAGTGAGCAAAACCCCCATCCCAGTTTCTGTTTTAAGCCACCAAATTTGTGGTAACTAATGTAACTTTATTGAGTCTCCCTTTATCCAAACTCCTGCTTTTATCACATACATCTGTCCATGTCACTACCCTGCTTCACACATTGACTGATCCCATGTTTTCTATAGGGCAAAGTTCAAGTTCTTAGCATGATGTGCAGAGATGGGCATGATCTGGTGGCACCTTCCTCCTAGCCTCTCTACTAATGAGTCTCCCTTTGTACTTTAGAACTTTGTACTTGCAATGCTAAGCTACCAGGCCAGTGGTTCTCCTGACATGCATGACTTTTATTTCTATCCTTTTGCTTCTCCATTTGGAATGTCCTTCCTTCTCATCCTTGTTCCCCTAACATCTTCCAAGTCTTTCCCAAATGGTCTGTCATTTCTGTCATGGCTTCTCAGCCTCCCCTCTCCCTTTTCCAGCAGACCTGCCCTCTCCTGTGTACATGGTCTATCATTTGTCCACTAATTACTCTAACTGGGCTGAAGTTCAGACTTCTTGAGGGCAGGAATGGTGTTTTATTTATTTTTAAAAATTTCCTGCACTTAGCGTGGTGCCTGTACCTAGCAAGTGCTCCATAAGGGTGGGAATAGGAGAAGAAGTTTAAGTTAATTGTTGCAAAAAAAAAAAAAAAGTTAATTGGTGCCCAGCACAGTAGCACAAACCTGTAATCTCATCAGCTCAGGAGGCTGTGAGTTCAAAGCCAGCCTCAGCACTACTTAGCAAGGCCCTAAGCAACTCAGTGAGACCCTGTCTCTAAATAAAATATAAAAAAGGGGATGAGGATGTGGCTCAGTGGCTAAGTGTCACTGGGTCCAATCCTTGGTACCCCCCCCACCAAATAAGCTAATTGTTTCAGGGCATGCAAGCCACCCTGCTATGTCCTGGGCTTTCTCAGTGGCTGTCCTGGTAGCTTGTCTCAATCTTTCTTAAGAATGGTCAATGCTCTGTCCCCCTCTGAGGGCACCTGAGTGGCTAGGGGTGAACCCACATCCAGCTGAGGCTCTCTCTTCCTTCCCTCTGTGGCCCCATTCCTGGGCTCCAAAGACATCTGGAGCCTCCCATGACTGGCTTTCACCTACCTGGGCTTGCTGGGTCTTTTCCAGCCACCTTGCACGATCTGTGGAACTGGGACAATGTACAACGAGGGCACTTGAGACACACTGGAATTCAGTAAGGTGGATCACCAGGAAGCTGTCTGGTGGAGGAGAAGGTCTGCTTTAAGGGTTTTATTTGACCTATATGCCAAGCCTTCCCTACCTCTCCAAGAAGAAGGGGGAAGGAAAATTTTTCCAGCAGAAGAGACATACTGGGATCTCGCAATGGTCGGCAAACAAGCTTCTCCAGCATAAGAGGGGGTCGGATGACCTTGGCTTTGTCCACCTTACGTTGGGGCTTGGTCACCAGGAGCACATCAGAGAAGAGGAACAGGTACACATCCAGCTGCAGTGGGGGCATAGGGGAAAGAGACAGGTCAACTGGAGCATGGGCAAGGTCTGGTCAGGGATCTGGGCTCGGGCGTGTGTGCACAGGAACTAGTGTAGACAGTAGAATGCCAGAGCTGGAAGAGCATCAGTTTGGCCCCATTTCTCATTTTATAGGCAGGGAGAAGGGCTGGTTCAAGGGCAAACAAACAACCAGAGCTTAGCCAGAACCGTGTTTTCTCCCCAGTGTGCACGTGCGTACACACACACACACACACACCAATCTCCCCATTTCCAGCTTTTCTGCCTCCCACCCTGACTTCCTTCCCTTTAGTTCATCTCCCATCTCTTTACTCTTGGCCCACAGCTCCCTCACCTTCCCTTCTCGTCCCTCCTTCACTCTCACAGGTCCCTCCAGCAGCAGCTGCCTGGTGTGCTCAGGGCCAACCCCCAGCATGGGGGACATAAGGTCCAGAGTGCAGAATGGACGCAAGTTCTGAGGGACACAAAGGGGAGGGTATCAGGGCACCGGGCAGGCATGTCTCTACATCCCAACCAAGAGTGGCTTCTTGTTCCTCCACCAGCACCCTCTCTCTCTATCCTTCCCCACTTGGAGCCGGAGCAAGCACCCCAGAGTCTCTGTTTTATTCTTTTGAACTCTGCCCCTTGGACCCTCACCACTGGGAAGGAATGATGGGCACACCCTTGGTGGCACCCAAGTGCAGGGTGTTCTGACCTCTGTCCCTTCCTTGCCTGGCTTCCCCTTCATCCATTTTCCCTGGGACCTTACCTTTTCCACTTCCTCGCTGGATGCCTCTAATACCTCGTAGTTCCCAATGCGCTGAGCTGCAGCCACCAAACTCTCCTGCTCTTCGCCTTGGCGGACTTGACCATTGATATGTCGAAGGAACGACTCCACAGCTGCAATCTCAGTTGGGAGTGGGGGTGCAGAAGGAGGTGTAGCTCAGCTCAGCTCAGCTCAGTCCTGTATTCTGCACAGCCCACCCATCCAATGACAACCACAGCATTCCAACACAGCCGAATGAGTGGGTGTCACACGAGGAACAAGACCCTCAAGAGTGCATGGAAATCAGTTCCCACCTACCCGTCCCCAAACCTGTGGTTCCTGAATCCACCTGAACACCTACCATAGCATCCAGGGCCTCTCGGGCTTGGGCCTCAGGGCTCCTTTTGAGCACAGCCTGCAGCAGCAGTGGGTACTTGGTGATGCGCTGGTGGGGCTTGATAAGTAAGTCGCCCAGCATCTGCCTCCCTGAGCGCTTGTGCTTCTCACACCACTGCCAGGGGAGGTGAGTGGGGGCTCAGGAGTTTGCAAGAAATCTCCCATCCACCCTTGCGACTAACTCAGCCTTGGACCCAGCTGGAGACTGGGGATGACTGGGCTGTCTAATCGCACCCCTCCCGCTACAGGCACCACCTCTCCCACCTGCACGAAGGTGTGGAAGAGAAGGTTACTGTCTTGCTGCTCCCGAGCATAAGCCATGATCTGCTTCACTCTCAGGCAGTACTGGACATAGGGCTGGAACCACTGGCCAAACTGGAAGGACAGATGTAGGGTCAGGGAGCAGGCAGGTGGAAGAAGGTCATAAATACAGACTCTGTCTGCAGAACAAGGGAGCAGGGTGCTAGGAGAGCCTCATGTAGCCCCTTCGTGAAGTTCCTGCCAGTCTCCACCTCCAGATTTGCTCTCATGGCCAGGCCCTTCTCTCTGCATTCCAAGCAGGAGCTGAAGTCCAGAAAAATGGACCACACTTTAGAGCTCCTGTCCACAGGGCCTGCTGTGCCCTGCTCCTCTGGACTTATTCTCCCACCATCAATAATTCAGCTAGACTGTTTCAGGACACTGTAGCTCCTATTTCTGTGAACTGCAGGTTGCCCAGAAGTCTTGTTCCTATGGAAGGGGGTGTCCAAAGTGCTCAGGAAACCACCACCCTACCACTGTAACCCCTGGCAACATTCTCCTGCAGGGCCTACATTTATTTCAATTGGGTAGCACAATAGAAGAAAGAACCCCCCAGTCCCCAGTCCCCACACACATTTTTACTTTCTTTTTTTTTTGGTATAGGGAATTGAACCCAAAGGCTCTTTACCACTGAGCTACATCCCCAACACTTTTTAGTTTTGATTTTGAGACAAGATTTCACTAAGTTCTGTGTCCCCCAGATGCTGGCCTCAAGTTTACAATCCTCCTGTCTCAGCCCCCCGAGTTGATAGGATTACAGATGTGCACCATTGTGCCCAGCACTTAGGCTCCATTCTTGTATCCAATGATTTGTTGATGGATCTCTGTCTGAGAACTAAGATTTTATAGTTGACAAGCATGTAGGTGTAACTCTTCCCTGAGAAAGCTGCATTTCCGTTTCATAATGGCCTGTAGATAACTTGTGGGATGGAGTTCAGCAGGGAATGATATCTGGGGATAAGGACTGTGCCCCGTGGGCCCCTCGGATCACAGAGAGATTTGAATCCTATGGGCAGCACCCTCTGGGCTCTCCCAGTCCTACCCTCTCTAGGCTTCATCGGGCCTTACCGTCAGAAAGCCATTTTGTAGCCTGATGGGATCCAGAGGCTGGCCTGAGGCCCGAGTTTCCTCCAGGAAGGGTTCTAGCACCTCTTCCCAAAACCTCCGATGGGCTCGAATCAGGCCAGGGACATTTCCAAACAGGGTCTTAGCTGACACCTGGAGGAAGGAGCAGAACTCTCAGAAACAGGCTTTTGGCGGGTCACTCTCAGGCAGCACTGGCAGGGTCAGATGAGGCCCCCGACCTTGGGTAATGGGGAGTGAGGGAGGGGTGCCCCAGACTGTGAGCCTAGAAGATTTAAGGGGCTCCAGCTGTCTTTTTTAATCCGTGGCACTTCAGCCTCAGTGCGTTTAAGGCCTGACAAATTGGGGGACCTGTGGCCTGCTGTAGGTCTAGAGAAAACAGGGAGTGTGGAGGGCAGGGGTGTCCCAGAAAATGAGGCAGTGGGGATTTGGACTGGGCAGCCTAATGTGTTCCATGAGCCCATCCCCGCCCTCACCCACCAGTTCCCACTCACCTCCATCAGCAGTCCCACACGCTGCAAGTTCAGCAGACCAGCAGCTAGGAGCTGGATGCAGGAAGAGGGACAAGGATCTCAGCACCTCGTCTCCCTCCTCTCTAAGCCCCAGCCTAGTCCTTCAGGGTCACCTCCACCCCCACTAACTTTGACCTTTCTTCCCCTCATCCTACGTGGGTCTACAGTCAGAAGGATCTCTTGGAATCCTGCCCCTCCAGTGACCTGTCCCTTCTGATTTGAGAGGATGGGGATAATGCAAGGGAGATGGGTAGACGGGTGGAGATGGGACTGTGGCTGGGGCTGAGGGACTCACATCGGTCATGATCTTGAGTTTTCTCACGTAGATCAGCTCAGTAGTGAGGAGCTCCCACAGAGCTTCCTGCTGGTGGCACTGCTCCCGACTCATCTCCTGGGTGAGGACAGTGCTGGTTCAGTTAGGGAATGATAAGAACAGCAGGTGCCATTTATGAAGTGCTACTGGATCCACTTCACAGGTTCTGAGCAATCTATACATGACCTTTTAATTCTAAACCAGTCCTCCAGTATGTAAAGTGGCATTATCCCCATTTTACATATGATGCTACAGAGGCTCCGAGAGGTCCTCTGTCCTGACCAAAGTCTCACTAGTAAGTGGCAGAGGGCTTCGAATGACAAGTTGTCTTTAAATGCTTTTCCCTCCTGGCCCTCTATCCCAAGGCTTGAAGGTCATCCCTATTCCCTCCTCTAGGGAAGAAGTGAGATGTGTGCATATGTGTATGTTGGAGGGTGTCTTTCTTTCTGTTTGTCATACTATAGGGACAGACATTATCTCAAACTTACCTTGTGCCCAGGCACCAGCTCTCTCCAGGACTTCTCGATGGTCACACCACTGTCACCACCCTCTCCTATCTCCCAATATTGTCGGTCCTCAGGGGGCAAGCGGGGCATCCCGAACATGCTGAATGTGTGGAGCCTCAACTCTAGCTCATGGGCCTTGGTAACTTCCTAGGAGAGCCGAGAAGGGGAACAATTAGCTTCATTCTCAGCACCCAGCCTGCTTGGCTCTGGGAGGGCAATGAGTACATGTGTGTGTCCGCCATGGGAGGTGGCAAGCAGCTCTGAGTATGAGTGGGAACACAGAGGCCTGGAGGGACAGGGATCACCCTGATTGGAATGGGGAATGGGTGTTACTGGAAAGTAACTGGAGAGGTGCCTTGGTTTGCAGAAAGATCCCTGGACTGGGAGGTCTGATCAGGGCACTCTAACCAGAAAGATACCTTCTAGGAGTCTCCTGATTCAGAACAGGGGTACAGGGGCAGGATTATACTCTTCGGAGGAGCCTTCAAGTGGAGACCAGAATATGGCTTAAGGAATCAGTAGTCTCAGCTAACATTTTGACATTTGCTCATAAAATGGACATTTTTATGAAAAAACATGACTTAAATTTTATAATTGTTTTTGGTACCAAATAATGTAGGCAACAGATATTGCTGACCTTCACTTTATCTGCAGTGTGGCTTGGGAGGAGAGGGGTGAGGCTCACAGCTGGGGTGAGGGATACTGTAAGACCTGGTAAATTCTGCAAACAGAAATTTGAATATTAATAGTTTATACTTTAAGTTATATCAAAATGTCTTGAGTCAAAGTCACTTGGTCTAATGCATGGGCCAAGTAGAAAAATATTCCAGAAATAGTCTCTGGATAGAGCTGTGTCTGATTTCTTCTTCTTCTTTTTAATTTTTTTTATTTTGAGACAGTCTTGCTAAGTTGCCCAGGTTAGACTTAAACTTGCAGAACCTCCTGCCTCAGCATTTGAGTTGCTGGGATTACAGGTATGTGCCACTGTACCATGCCAGTGTCTGATTTTTTGGAGGGGGTGTCAGGCAGAAGCCCCCTAGGCCAGTGCTGTCAGCACCAGGGGCTAGCTGAGCCTGATTATCTGTGGAGGTCTTTGCAGTTGGGGCTATAAGCATGGGATGGGAGCAAAGGGACCCCTTACCTTGAGTTTCGGGGAGTGAGGTGGGCCAGGTCCCAAATGACCTCCATGCTTCTTCTCGAGCTCTTGTTCTCGCAACATCAAGGGAGACAGGCCTCGGGAAGGGCCAGAACCCTTGACGAAGGGGACATAGTGCGGGAAGCGTCGGCGGCTGGGATCCTGGGGGAGGAGCAGGGGAATTCTGGGGGTGCCGGAAGTACCAGAGAGGCAGGGGTGGGGTTTGGCTCTAGGCATCATCCCCCATCTCTACAAGTTGGGTTGGCTCATCGCTCCCCTCAAACCAGTTTGGTGTGGGCTGCTGCTGCACTGAGTCACTAGGGAGACCAAGCTGTGTTGGGCACGGACATGTCAACCTGACTCCTTGAGTGGGCCTCAGGGCAGAAGCAGGGGGCCTCTTCCAGAGTAGGCACAGAGGCACATGCATATGCCTGGGCTTTGGAGTGTGTGCCCCTGTGTCTGCCTGTTTATATGCATGTTCTCCTCAGGGACAACATAGTGCATGCCGCATTCTGAGTTCCTCATGACCTCCCTTGTTTGTGGCCAGCCTCCTTCACACGTGAGGATGATAGCTCACACATGTGGGCCTCCTCCCTGGGGGCATGTAGCCCATGTCCTATCCTGCTGGGAGTGGCTCTTTCTGTGTAAGAGGTTGAGACCATAGCCACAAGTCTCCTCCCAGGGCAGGCCTGGTCACATTCCTTGATCTGCCTGTGGCCTGAATTTTACCCCACATACTTCCTAATGTCCCTTCCTGCCCTCAGCCTGGGAGAATCCCCATCTCCAAGGGCCAAATCGTCCTCCAGAGAGGCAGAGGATATCCCCAGTCAGAAGAAGAACAGTTCTCAAGGTGGACGGGAAGCCTTGAGCTGAGGGACAGCAGGAGCTCCGGCTTCCTCACCTGCTTCCTGGACCAGGCTTGGAGGTGGGCCAGGCAGGTGGAGCCAGGGGTGGAGCCAGGGTAGGTCTCCACACCCTCCCCCTTTGGGAGAGCAGGGACACCCTGAACCTTTGCTCTTCCTCAGTCCTGACTCACAGGGAGCCTTCTGACTCCTCCCAAGTGGAGGCAGGAGACTGGGAGGTACCATTCCCACAACTCTAAGCCTCAGACCTGTCTTACAGCACCTCCTCTGTGAGCCTGGCTTCTCCTGGCTTTCTGCCTTTCTCTAGGACTGGGGTGTGAAGTACTGGGAACTGAGCCCAGGTACTGCCCTCCTCTCCCCCGCAGCCTGGGGAAGAAGAGGAGGGTGAAGGACAAGAATAGAGCAGCCTATGAACTGTAAGGGGACAGTGACTTCAAAGCCTGGGTGTCCTCCCTCCTGCCCCACCCAGGTCACCCTCAGGGCACAGCCTAGACTCACCAGTACAGGGCTTCCTCGAGAATAGAGACCGCCAGCAGGGCTTTGGGTAGAGGCCTGACGCCGGCCCCCATAAGTCTCAATGCGGGAGGCCACGAGGCCCTGGAGGGGACTCTCATCTCGAGGACTAAAGCCCTGCATCCCTTCTCTTCTGGGTCACCTCCAAAGGGTCATAGCTCCATTGTCCAGGAGAAGGGGGGGTCCCTTCAGGCTATAAGAGAGAAGAGAAAGGAATGAAAAGGCCAGGTTATATCAGAGGGTAGCATCAGCTTGGAGACCAAGGAGAAGGGCAAGAAGATGGAGTACAAGGGACAGGATCAAGGCTTGATCACTTATTGGCAGGTGGGTGTGAGGAGGGTGATGGCTGCCTCATGGTGGGGATAGGATAGGCCAGGCACATGCTGGGTAGAAAGCCCTTTGGAGATAAACATTCTCCCTCATATGTATGCACATTTAGGTACAAGCTCTCACATTGGCCTCAAAGGATGCTGTGGTTCAAAGAGCAGCTGGGAGCAAGGGCCACAGACAAGTCCCTGTGTTCTGGATGCCCCCAGGTGGAAGGATTACCCTTAGGCTTAGATACATGTCCCCTTCCCCATAAATAGCCTGGTAGCAGTTGCAGGGAGGCCATGGGTAAGGTGGGCTGGGGGTGGCCAGAGACTGTTCAGCCTGCCATCATTTTAGTGCAGTCTGTGAGCTAAGAATGTTACATTTTTACATAGTTGAAAAAGTCAAAAGAAAAATACCATTTTGGCAAAAATGAAAATTATATGATATTCAAATTCAGTGTCCATAAATACAGTTTTATTGGAAAATAGCCACCTTTACTCATGTACTGTCTATAATAGCTTTCCTGTTAGCTGTGACAGGCTGGACTGTATAGGCTGCAAAGACTAAATATTTAGTATCTGGCCCTTTACTGGAACATTTGCCCCTTCCTTACCTGGACTCTCCAGGCCACAGACAGGGAGGCGAGGTGAGGCAGCTATCAGGCAGCAGGCCTTAGAGATTGGCCCCAGGAGAAGAGCTCTGGTCTCGGACTACCTTTGGTCCCCAACCTTTTGGGGACACCACCATAGAGCTGGGAGCCAGGTGGGGCTCCATTCCTCCTTCCTCAACCTGAATAGAAGACCCACCCTCTGAGTTGGCAGAATTTGAAGAAGAGAGGCCTCTTAAAGGGGGGGGGGGGCTCTAACGCTGTGCAAATACGTGCTGGCCCCCACCAGGTGGGCCTGAGGCCCCTTCTCAGTTCTCTTCTCTTACTTTTTCTGATTTATGAGCAGAAGAGAAAAAGGCTCTTTGTCTCTCCTGCCCCCTCTCATTAACCTCCTCTTAAGAGCTGTCTCCCTCTCATTTCTTCCTCCTTACCTAGGGTCCTTTTTTCAGCTTTGGCCCGGGCTTCCTTTCCTTCCCCTCTCAGGAAGCTAGGCCTCCTCCCTGCACCCCAGTTCCCAGGCCCCCTGTCCCCTGCTTGCCCCGCCCACCCCTCTCCGTCCGCCCGCGCTCCCGCAGCTCACCTGTGCGCTCAGGTGTCCCAGCGACCACTGCCCTCTCTGTCGGCCCCCGCCCGCGGGGCTCCGGGTCGCTGTCAGCAGCTCTGGAGATGGCAGCCCCGTTGCCCAGCCTGGGACTGGGACCCAGCGGCCCGCGGGACCGGGACAGCTCTGGGCCGGTCGGGGAGGGGAAGGTGGAGGGAAAGGGGCGGGGATGCGGGATAACCCCGCCCCCTCACCGCTGGCACTGCACCTGAGGCGCAGCGAGGACGCACCCGCGGCCCCGAGCGACAGAGGAGTCCCCGCTCCCAACACAGCCATCACCTCCTGGGCGGAGGGAGCTTACTTCTCAGTGCGTTCCTTTCCCTTATTCCTTCGCATCTAAACTAACCACCCACCTGATCCAGGCGGGAGGGCTGGAACCGCTCGCCACCCGTGCGCCATCTCTTCCCAGCCAGACCCCGCGAGGCGCCAGAGTAATGAGAGATAAATAAGAGGCTGGGCGCCGCTGGTAGAAGGCGACAAGAGTAATGACCGAGTGACTTGTGGCAGGTGCCCACCTCCCTTTTTGGGCGCATTGCGTGGGTGGCTCTCCCACTCCTCCAAGACTATTAACCAGAACAGGGGAAGTGGCCTGCCTACAGGACAGGCATGGGGGCCTAGGGACCCTAGGCGCCCTCGCTGTTCTCTGAGTCCAAAGTGTGGCCCTTATCTCTTTGTAGGCCCCGCTGGCCTGTCCAGGCACTCAGGTGGAAGAGTGTCTCTGAACTTTGCCTTTGTTACAGACATAGGGTCAGGTGCCAGGCTGAGACCTGACCCAACACTTCTAAGTGTTATCTAAGACTGGGGTGGAAAGAAGAGGGGGACATGGGGATACCCTCCTTCCTCACTGGGCCTCATGAACCCACTTTGGGCTTCCCAAGGGCCACCCAGCAACTACTGCAGCTGCTACAATAGACACTGCAGGAGAAACCGCCCTGGCTGGACTTATGTGAAAGGACCACTGTTTCATATCCCCTTGTCATGGCACTTAATCTGTCAGAAGCACTAGATGTTTGAAATCAGAGTTGTCCTGTGGATGTGTGGTCATTATAATCTTATAGTCATGAAGCTGAAAGTCCTGTAGTGGGGACTGGGCAGGTCTGAGGTGCTGCCCTGTGATCTCCCTCCTGTCAGTGAGCTATACAATGATAACACCCAATCACTTCTGTTTGTAAGATATCCTGAAGTTCATGAAACACTCTCAGAAATGGAATCTCTCTGAGTTACCAGGGGAAAGGGTCTCCACCCTCTTTTCACATCTAGCATATTAAGCACATCAATAATCAGAATGTTCTAGTCTTCACTGACTGGTGGCTCCATTTAGTCTGGGGGAAGAATTTATCACTGAAGAGTTTCTAATTTTATGTTTTCTGTCCCCAGCCTCAGATTTGCCCTCCAGTGTCCTTTCCCCTTTCCTTACTTGCCTTATTTCTTTCTTTTTGTGGTACTGAGAATTGAACCCAGGCACACTCTACCACTGAGCTATACCCCCAGCCCTTTTTAGTTTGTTTGAGACAGGGTCTTGCCTCCAGAGGCTGGCCTCCAGCTTGTGACCCTTTGCCTCAGCTTCCTGAGTAGCTGGGATTACAGGAGGGTGCCACCATGCTTGGTTCCCAGTGTCCTTTTTTTGAGTTTAATGTTGTGATGGCTTTGTACCTCTGTACTTCTAGATCCCTGAATTCTGCCTCCCACCTGCCAGTTAATCAGCAGGACCAGTTTTAGAGGAAGAACTTGGTGGGACAGGAACTGCAGTGGCAAGCAATCAGTTTTTACTGGTTCCTAGCCCCTTTCTCTCCCCACTCACTGTGTATGTTTTGTGAGAGCTCAACAATAAGAGCAAGAGAGACAGGGATGACAAGAATACCCATGAGGGAGAGAGAGCTAATGGACTAAAAGGTGGTGATTACTGGCAGTATTAAATGACACCCCAGAGACGGCCAGTGCCAAGGGCTCCTAGCCTCTCTTCCCACTCTCCCAAAAGGAGGTAGAAGGAGGAGCAAGAGGGAAATTGAAATTGAGAGGACACCAGAGGCAAGCCTGGGCTTACAGTGCTCTGGGGTGAGCTGGCGAGGCTGGCCCAGTGCACCTAGGAAGAGTTAACCCTTTCCCTTCCCTCAAGGCTGAAGTCCAGTCTCCACCCAACAGTGCCCCAGGACCTATCTTCAGCCTCCCTGGGAGGAGAAGTTCCCAGGGAAAGCTGGAGTCTAGAAGCCAAGGTGTGGCAGGCACAGGTGTGTGGGCTGGAAGGCAGGGCCTGATGTTCCACCCTTCCTATTCTGGCCTTGTCTGTCCCTCTCACAACCTCCATTTTTCATAGCCTTTTCTGTGCTGTGGAGAAAAAACTTCTATGATGGGCTGAGAAAGGAAGCTGGCTCAGGAAGCTGAATGAGCCCTATTCAACTGAGAGTCAGGAGGTTGGATGCTTGGCTTGTGCAGAGGAGGGCTGGTCCTGGGAGCAAAGCAGACTACGTGGGCACCTGTTTTTTCTCCCTGGTTGCCTTAGACTTTCCTCACATCTCTAGCTTGAACCATACCCTTCTTCATGTCTCAGTTTCTCCTCTAAGGCAGCTATTCCCTACCAGGTGCCTAGACTGACCCCCAAAGCTGATGAGAAAGTATCTATCTGTCCAGGGTTGGAGCTCTGAGGATCAAATGCTTTTGTCCAATAGCAGCCTGAGGATAATTTTCTGGGATTGGCATGGGAATGGAGTTTTCAGGGGGGTTCACTGTCAGGAAGCTCACTTGAGCCTTGAGCTCTGCCCAGCCCACACCTCTTGGGGCAGAGGCAGGGGCCATCTGAGTTAATGAGGTACTAGAAGGCACTCAACATAGGAGGTGTCCTCCCTGATCAACTGCAGACTTGAGCTGGAGGCACCAGGTCACATGAGGCAAATACATACCAAGAGGCCAGGCCACTAGCTGCCAGTGCCTTAGACCAGAACAGGGGCTCTCCTTTCCTTCTTCTCTCCCTTCCTTCTACCTGTTGACCTATATAAGTTACTAGGAATCTAGAGATGAGTAAGAGACAGTTCCAGACCTGTAGAGGATTGCAGACTCATGGGAAAATATATGGGTGAACAGGATATTGATTTATAAGGTAGACATAGGAGGAATGAACCAGGAGCTATAAAGACACTTTGGAGGAAGCAGGGAAGGCTTCCTGGAGGAGGTATACTTTTGTCCTGAAACTGTAGAGAGGAGTAGGAGTCTGCTGGGCAGAGAAGGCAGGAAAGGCATTTTCGGAGGAGAGAACAGCATGAGAAAAGACAGATGGGCTAGAGCATATTAAAAGGAGCCAAGCACTCCTTTCTTTCTTTTTAATATTGAAAAATTTCCATAACTTCAGTTTGGCATTCCTGGCACATTACTATCACTTTAGCAATTCATTTATGCTTCTTCTGAAGTCTCCTGACCCCTTAGGACAAACCTTATAAATTTTACCTTGCAGGCCAATACTGATGGGTGAGTAGTGATTTCCTGGAATACTGGGCTAAGCAGAAGTCTGTGGATGATGGCTGCTCATAGGAAGGGCCACTAAGGTGGCTTGGCCATGTCCTTCTTTGGGGAGAGAGGGCTCCTTTGCCTTGGGTAAAGATGTTAATGTAACAGAGGCTTTCCTTGCATTGAGTTGGGGCTGGGGCACAGTGAGAGCATGGGGTCTTTGTCAGTGGTGCTGTGGTGAGCGGAAGAGCCAGGGAGTCTCAAGGGCACAATGCAGATTGGAGTTGTGTGTCTGATGTCTAGGTCTGTGCTCTGACCACATGCTTTCCTGCTTTTAACTTTGTGGACTCTGATCCAGACCTGTGGGGCCTGCGTACCTCGGGATCCCCAGCAGATCCTTAGTAGGTGAAGCTTAGGTGATGACACCTAGTCCCTGACCTGTGGAATGCTCCCCACCTCTTTCTCATTCCAGACAGTTCAGGCCTTCACGAATGTCAAACACATTTCCAGGTCTCTGGAGGTGACTCAGAAAGTCAAGGCTTTCTGTCTTTGTCCCATTGCACCTGGGAGCTACAGTCCTCCTTAATGGTGTCCCTGGAAATGCAATTAGATTTCTTTTAGTTTTGAGTTATGAGAGTGGACAAGGCCCTGAGCCCTGGCCTTTTCTGATTGGAGGAGGCCTATGTAGCCTCCCCAGCAGGAACGCTGACTAATGTTCTTAGTAGAGGGTCCATGCCTCTGCCCAACGTCTTCCAAGGAGGCTGGCTTCTCCCAGAGTCTGTGCCTTTACTCACATGGCCCTGATGGGTGAGTGTGGTCACTCCCTCTAGGCCCCCTTCCTTCGAGTGCTCATTTGATTTCCTCCTTCAGCTCTGAACTGAACTGGGTCTCCTCAGGTTTCTATAATCCAAGGGTACCTCAAAAACACATGTGATTGGGCAGTTTAAGGCTCGGTGTCAATCTTTGCAAAGGTTTTCAAAGCTAGGAGAGCCCTTGCCTCTCAACCATGGTCAGTTTCTGCAAGCTCTGTGGCCCTTATGGCTTAGTCCAGGGTCACAGCCAGCCCTGGCTTGTGGCACATATATTTTGAGGCCCATTTGCCAGTGTGGCTGACTATGCTGAGCCATCTCATTGTGACACACCTTGTCCCACCCATTATTTCGAATTTAATTTGACAATCCTGAGTTTCAGGAAGTTCTCTCTCATCTCTGACCCAGATGCTTCCAGTTGAAGCTTAATTTCCTCATGCTTTGGGGAATACCTTTAATTTTTTTTTCTTCTTTTTGTTTATTTTTTATTCTTTATTTTTCTTTTTTGCAGTGCTGGGAATGGAACCCATGCTAAGGCAAGTGTTCTACCATTGAATCACATCCCCAACCCAGGAAGCCCTTCATACTGTCTTTTGGGGCAGGTAAACTTGACTTGTCTAAGTCTCCATTTTTACATGTAAAAGAAGATAATGATACCTACATTTTAGGATCATTATAATAATAACAGCAAACGTTTAAATGAAGTGGTTAACATATTTGAGGCATAATTAAATGCTTTGCATGTTTTATTTCATTTAATCCTCACAAAAATAGGTATTATCCTCATACCAGATGAGAAAACAAGCTCAGAGCTTATATAACATGTTCAAGATCACAAAGTTAGCAAAGAGAAAAAGCCAGGATTTGAACTTGTATTTGCCTTACTCCTG